CTAAGTAAAACAAGTAAAACTGTAGGTATGATTTCAAAATTAAGACACTTTGTACCTAAACATACTTTACTTAATATTTATAAATCGCTAGTAGGTCCATATCTCTCCTATTGTCTTGTTATCTGGGGTCAGACAAGCAAGTCAAATTGGAGTAATATCTTAGTTTTGCAAAAACGTGTTCTTCGTTTTATCCATTTTTCAGATAAACGAGAACACGCAATACCTTTTTTCGTTGCTACAAATATTTTACCAGTAAATATCTTATTCTATGAAAATGTACTTACATTGATGCATGATGTTAAAAATAGAGTTGCACCAGTCAATATTCTCAATCTTTTCCAGAAAGCGTCAGATATTCATTCTTATAATACCCGTTCTTCAAAGTCAAATAATTTTTACATTAAACAATCGAAACTAGAAATTCAACGAAAGTCTTTTTCTCATGTTGGAGTAAAATGGTGGAATGAGGTACCATCTTGCATAAGAGAATTGCCAAAAAGAGCATTTAAGAAAAGGATACGTAGTATCCTTTTGGACATTTTAAAGAATGAAAACACTTATCCGGACATAGAGTCGCTCAGCTGTAAAATTAAGAAAATATCACGCAATGAAGCCTCAAATTGAAGTGTTAACTCCCACTTTTTTCCCTGTTCTTAATTGATATACAGTATATTATTATTATTACTTTTTTTTTCTTTCTAAAAACGTTAAGTTTATTAATATGTAATTTCATTGAAAATTATTTCATATTATGTATATATAATTTGCTATATAATTAATGGCTTTGTAACTGTGTCACTATAGACAAGTCGCCTCGACTAGCTTTGTAGCTATTAGCGGCTTGTCTTGTCTTATTAATGTATGTACGTATTTTATATGAATAAATTGAAATAAATTGAAAAAATTGAAATTGAAATAAATTGAAACAACGTAAAATTATTAGCCTTGCATATTAAAACAAAAACAACCGAAACAACATTATAGCTATAGCAAATAAATAAGAATACTGATCCGTAGAGAACCATTTATGCGATAACTCCACTTATTTAAGTCGCGTCTTATGTAAGTCGCGTCTTATTTTGTCTTCTATAAATGGCCCTATTGTGTCATATTCTACAGTAATATCTTGACGACGTAGGGCATTCACTCGAATCATGGAATGTTGTGTTAATATTGTTGTATGTCTCGTCACACCCCAGCTGTTTTAATTAAGTCGATTGACAGGCTTTTTGCGTCTATTGGTTTTACCAGTAGAGCGTTTTGTCATGAGGGCGAAAGCATGTAAGCTCGTGATCAATTTTTTGACGTTTGATAACACGAAGTGTATATATATATATATATATATATATATATATATATATATATATATATATATATATATATATATATATATATATATATATATATATATATATACATATACATAAAGATTAAAAAGAATAAAATAGACTAAAATATCATAGGAAAAAAACAAAAGTCATGTTTATTGGATCTACGCATAATCTAAATCATAAAATAGGAAATAGAGCCGTTGAGATTAACAAAATCCCAGTCCCACAAACCAATACATTTAAATGTCTGGGTGTAAATCTAGATGAAAAATTAAGTTGGGAGAAACATATTGATTCTGTATGCCATAAGATTAGCGCTGGAATAGGAGCAATTAAAAGAATAAAACCTTATGTTCCACACAAAACCTTACATGATGTCTACAAAACATTAATTCAGCCTCATTTTGATTACTGTTCTCCCCTGTGGGATAACTGTGGTTTGGGACTTCAAGACAAATTGCAAAAATTCCAAAATCGAGCAACAAGGGTGATTACCGGAGCTGACTACGATGTAAGATCGTCTGAAGTCCTAAACAAATTAGGCTGGGAAACCCTGGCTAGGAGACGAGAACAAAACAAGCTAGTATTGATGTATAAAGTCTTGGGGAACCACACTGCGCCAAACCTTAAAGATCTTTTTCTCGGAGAAATGCATCGCAGAATATTTATGATTTACGCAATAGCGAAACTGATCTCTCGTTAAAAAAACCGAAAACGGAATTTCTAAAGAAAACATTTGGATACAGTGGAGCAATTCTATGGAATAGTCTCCCGCAAGATGTCAAGGCGGCTGAGTCAATCACGTCATTTAAAACAATGGCGAAATTGCATTTAAGCAGATGATAAGCTAATTTCTCCAGGACCAAATGATGGGAGGACAATATAGATTGTGGGCGGGAGGGGAGTTAGTTTTGCGTGAGGGTGGGTGGGTACTTGTTTAGGGGGTGGAGGTTTGGGAGGAAGATGATAAAATTTTAGGGTGGGATTCTTACATATTTTGTTCTATATATAATTAACATTTAGCTCTTTGTGTGTGAACGCCCTTCGTGGAAACCAGTTGTAAATAATTGTCGAAGTTAGCGTATTGAAATAAAGTTTTACATACATACATACTCTGAGGACAGCGTTCCTCACTCTGAGGACAGCGTTCCTCACTTTGAGGACAGCGTTCCTCACTCTGAGAACAGCGTTCATCACTCTGAGGACTACGTTCCTCACTCTGAGGACAGCGTTTCTCACTCTGAGGACAGCGTTCCTCACTCTGAGTACAGCGGTTCTCACTCTGAGGACAGCGTTCCTCACTCTGAGGATAGCGTTCCTCACTCTGAGGACTGCGTTCCTCACTCTGAGGACAGCCTTACTCACTCTGAGGACAGCGTTCCTCACTCTGAGGACAGCGTTCCTCACTCTGAGGACTGCGTTCCTCACTCTGAGGACAGCCTTCCTCACTGTGAGGACAGCGTTCCTCACTCTGAGGACAGCGTTCCTCACTCTGAGGACAGCGTTCCTCACTCTAAGCAAAGCGTTCCTCACTCTGAGCACAGCGTTCCTCACTCTGAGGACTGCGTTCCTCACTCTGAGGAAAGCGTTCCTCACACTGAGGACAGCGTTCCTCACTCGGAGGACAACGTTCCTCACTCTGAGGACAGCGTTCTTCGCTCTGAGGACAGCGTTCCTCACTCTGAGGACAGCGTTCCTCACTCTGAGGACAGCGTTCCTCACTTTGAGGACAGCGTTCCTCACTCTGAGGGCAGCGTTCCTCACTCTGAGGACAGCGTTCCTCACTCTGAGTGCAGCGTTCCTCACTCTGACGACAGCGTTACTCACTCCGAGGACAACGTTCCTCACTCTGATGACAGCGTTCCTCACTCTGAGGACAGTGTTCCTCACTCTGAGGATAGCGTTCCTCACTCTGAGGACAGCGTTCCTCACTCTGAGGACAGCGTTCCTCACTCTGAGGACAGCGTTCCTCACTCTGAGGACAGCGTTCCTCACTCTGAGGACAGCGTTCCTCACTCTGAGGACAGCGTTTGTCACTCTGAGGACAGCGTTCCTCGCTTCGAGGACAGCGTTCCTCACTCTGAGGACAGCCTTCCTCACTCTGAGGACAGCGTTCCTCACTCTGAGGACAGCGTTCCTCGCTCCGAGGACAGCGTTCCTCACTCTGAGGACAGCCTTCCTCACTCTGAGGACAGCGTTCCTCACTATGAGGACAGCGTTCCTCGCTCCGAGGACAGCGTTCCTCACTCTGAGGACAGCGTTCCTCACTCTGAGGACAGCGTTCCTCACTCTGAGGACAGCGTTCGTCACTATGAGGACACCGTTCCTCACACTGAGGACTGCGTTTCTCACTCTAAGTAAAGCGTTCCTCACTCTGAGGACAGCGTTCCTCAATCTGAGGACAGAGTTCCTCACTCTGAGGACAGCGTTCCTCAAACTGAGGACAGCGTTCCTCAATCTCAGGACAGCGTTCTTCACTGTGAGGACAGCGTTCCTCACTCTGAGGACAGCGTTCCTCACACTGAGGACAGCGTTCCTCACTCTGAGGAAAGCGTTCCTCACTCTGAGGACAGCGTTCCTCACTCTGAGGACAACGTTCCTCACTCTGAGGACAGCGTTCCTCGCACTGAGGACAGCGTTCCTCACTCTGAGGACAGCGTTCCTCACTTTGAGGAAAGCGTTCCTCACTCTGAGGAAAGCGTTCCTCACTCTG